ACAGCCGAACTGCTGAACTGCAGTCAGCTGAAGTAGCCTGCAATGCTGCATTTAACCACTGCGCCACCTTGGCCCAAGAACCACCACCTGTATTGCCATGGCTGGACTAGGCATCCATGTTCAAGTCCATTTCCAGCCTTGGGTGACACTCTCAACTCAACCTACTTCACCGCATTGTTAGGAAAATCAATGATCAATCAATCAGAATAGAGCTGGGAGGGGCCTTGGAGGTCTTCTAGTCCAACCCCCTGCTCAAGCAGGAGACCCCATTTCAGTCCAGACAAATGGCTATCCAGCCTCTTCTTAAAAAACCTAAAGTGATGAGTTGCCCACAACTTCTGGAGGCAACTTCTTTTTTTAATTGTCCTCACTGTCAGGAAGTTTCTGCTTAATTCCAAATTGCTTCTCTCCTTCATTAGTTTCCGTTCATTGTTTCCTGTCCTGCCTTCAGGTGCTTTGGAAAATAGGTTGAGCCCCCTCCTCTTGGGGGGCAGCCCCTCAAATACTGGAACGCTGCTTTCGTCCCCCCCAATCATCCTTCTTTTCTCTAGATTAGCCCAACCCAACCGTTCTTCATAAGTTTTAGTCTCCAGACCTTTAATCATCTTAGCTGCTCTTCTCTTCACTTTTCCCAAAGTCTCAACAACTCTCAACAAAGTCTCAACTGGGGGGGAGGAAGTGTTGTATGGGCTGTTGGAGAAAAGGAGAGATAGAGATCTGGATTGGAGGGGGTGGGGTGGCAGTGATGGGACCGTCCCAACCAGCGTCCCTCTCCATCTGTCGTTCCTCTACGAGAAGAACAAAGCTCCGTGGAGTGGAATCTATTGGGAAGGATTATCTGCAAAGGTTATCCTGCAAAGACTCCGGATGAAGCCTGCTATCTTTGGCACAGAGACAGGCCAAGTGGCGTCCTAAAATTAGTCTTCCAACCTTGGTCCGTCGCCCAAACTGTACCCCCTCCGAGAGAACATGCCAAACAGAAAACAAGGCATTCTCACTTGAAGAAGAACCTAATCCCTGTGCAACCCTTTGCCAGCAAAAGGGTTTAATTTCCATGGTGTTGAGAAGACAACTCAACACACACAGGAGGCAGCAACCAGATCGAATGTCCGGGGACTGTTTCTCTAACTAGCAGGAGCCCCCACACTCACTCCCCCCCCCAACCGCTTGCGATGAGGAGAGAGATGCGTTCGAAGGACCCAACAGTTGTTCCCTTGAGCGGCTGAACGGCTCATCTTGAGAAGGTGCACCGTCCGTTGAAGTTCAGAGGTGGAAACGGAAGGCTTGAAGTTGACTGCCCCCCCAAAACTTACACGGGAGGGCAAACTGGGACTCAGAGGGAAAGTTTGGAGGGAAAGATATTTGATATCCTCTGGATAGGACTCCTCGGGGATGGAAGCCAACGGGGCTTCAGCACAACCTCCAAGAAACCTTACTCTGTGGGATTCATTTGGGTTCCAACTGATTGGAGGACTTCAAGGGAGCAGAATTCAAAGCAGAGTCCACGCTTTCCCTGGGCTGAAAGTATATTGAGTCTTCCTTAAAGCCCAAGCTTTTACAGACTCTCGGCTCTGGGTTGTTAAATCTCCCTCTACGTTTACACAACTCCTGGATTTGCTGAGAGGCTTTTCCTAAAAAGCTCATCCAGATGCCAGAGACAGCTGCTTTTGCAAAAAAAANGAGGAAAAGAGAGAAAGAGATACACACAGAGAGAAAGACAGAGAGAGAGAAAGATTGAGAAAGAGACAGACAGAGAGACATTGAGAGAAAGAGACAGAGAGCGAAAGATTGAGAGAGAAAGAGAGGGGGGAGGAAAAGAGAAAGAGATACACACAGAGAAAGAGAGAGAGAGAAAGATTGAGAAAGAGAGAGAAAAGGAGGGAGGGAGGAAAAGAGAGAAAGAGATACACACAAAGAGAAAGACACAGAGAGAGAAAGATTGAGAAAGAGACAGAGAGAGAGAGATTGAGAGAGAAAGAGAGGGGGGAAGAGAGAAAGAGATACACATAGAGAGAAAGAGAGAGAGAGAAAGATTGAGAAAGAGAGAAAAGGAGGGAGGGAGGAAAAGAGAGAAAGATACAGAGAGAAAGACAGAGAGAGAGAAAGATTGAGAAAGAGACAGAGAGAGATTGAGAGAAAGAGACACAGAGAGATTGAGAGAAAGAGACACAGAGAGCGAAAGATTGAGAAAGAGAGGGGGGAGGAAAAGAGAGAAAGAGATACACACACAGAGAAAGAGAGAGAGAGAAAGATTGAGAAAGAGAGAGAAAAGGAGGGAGGGAGGAAAAGAGAGAAAGAGATACACACAGAGAGAAAGACACAGAGAGAGAAAGATTGAGAAAGAGACAGAGAGATTGAGAGAAAGAGACACAGAGAGTGAAAGATTGAGAAAGAGAGAGGGGAGGGAGGAAAAGAGAGAAAGAGATACACACAGAGAGAAAGACAGAGAGTGAGAAAGAGAGAGAGAGACAGAGAGAGAGAGAGAGAAAGGGAGGGAGGGAGGAAAAGAGAGAAAGATACACACAGAGAGAAAGACAGAGAGATGGGGGGAGGAGGGAGAGAGAAGATCAAAAGCTCTGCAGTGCCAAGATGCCAGGCAAGAGCTNATCAGATCATCAGTATTTCTTATACAGTATTAGATTAACATGCGTCAATGCTAAGGAGTTAGACATTCTACTCCCCCTCCCCACCTGAAAGGAACTCTGTTCCAACTGCCAGTCACCTTATATGGCATGGCCAGCATGTGACTCATCCGGCCTGTGGGCTGACCTGATCACATGGTTTTTTAGCGAAGCACGGGTATCCAACTAATAAATAATAAACCACTTCTCAAGCCACAGAATAGCATCAGAGCATCTACAGACCTCATAGCTTATATGATGCAAAACTTCATCTCTGTGGGGGCTACAGAATTAGAGACCATCCATTTAAAGTCTCCAAGCTAAGCCTTGTGTTTATGTTATTACTATATCTCAACTTCTGTGTAGTTAGCTAACAAACACTTGATGCATATACACATGGCAAGGAGAATCCAATGTCATCCTTGGAGAAGCACTGGTGTATCTTATTTATCTATCCATTTACATATTCTGTCAAGCCAATTGCAATTACAATATAATTACTCTAAGTTCGCACAATGGAGATGTAATAGGGAAAAACAAGAATGAATAGTTGGCTTGGCTCGTTGCATTCCATCTTTGAGAATGGTGGACTTTGTAGCCAGATCTTATTATTATATCATTTAGTTAATTTCAGAAATTGAGCAGATTTTTAATTGTTGAGGGAGAGGGATGTTGCTGTGAGGTTATGGATTCAGATTATAGAAGAGAATTCCTCCAAGATCAGATCTAATTTGACTAAGATTTGGTTTCTTGAGATAAGGAAATGTTTAAGCCAGACTGGGAGAAATTGGGTGTTTTGATGCTCTGAAACCTCAAAAAACTTCTATGGTTAAATTTTGAGAATTGTGTAGTAAAGGCATGAGATGAAACCATATATACTTACAGTCTTATTTTAGTTTTTCTTATGCTGACATTAATATTCATTCTTCCCTCTACATTCACAGATTAGCTTATTTTGTGTACCCAGATACAAAAACCAGTGCCAGCTGCCTGAGCCAGATTCTCTCCCCATAAAGACAAAATGTTGAAAAACACAGAGGGCATGCAAATTAGTGATTAGAGAAGCTGCGTGTTTTTGTTTTTGTTAAGTCACAATATTGCACAATTTTTTATGATACTGTACTTTTAAAGGGACGCGGTGGCTCAGGGGCTAAGATGCTAAGCTTGTTAATCAGAAAGGGCGGCAGTCCGAATCCCTAGTGCTGCCTAATGGAGTGACTTGTCCCAGCTTCTGCCAACCTAGCAGTTCGAACGCATGTAAAAATTCAAGTAGAAAAATAGGGACCACCTTTGGTGAGAAGGTAGCAGTGTTCTGTGCGCCTTCAACATTTAGTCATGACAGCTACATGACTACGGAGACATCTTCAGACAGTGCTGGCTCTTTGGCTTTGAAACAGACATGAGCACCACCCCTTAGAGTCAGGAACGATTAGCACATATGTGGGAGGGGAATCTTTACCTTTACCTACTTTTAATGGCCAGAGTCTCTGGCACAGCTGTTCAAAGTTCTTCAACAGCTACATCCAAATTAAAAAATAGGAAGAATGATCATTCAATTCCAACCTTAGCATGGTTTTGATAGAGTAAGTGCTATTACTTGTGCCACGTGATACCATATACAGCCTGCTAAGAAAGAGGTCACAGCTCCACAAACATCTGAAGCTAACAAGACCTAATCACCATCTGGATTGCCTCTATATTGTGGAAAATCTCTATTCACCACAACCCAAACACTGAATTACTTGGCTTGGAGATACTCTGCACAGTTGACTACTTTTGGCATTCTAGCATTTTATTTACTTACTAGCTGATAANGTGCTGGAGAAGACTCCTGTGAGTCCCTTGGACTGCAAGGCAATCAAACCAATCAGTCCTAGAGGAGATCAACCCTGACTGCTCTTTAGAAGGCCATATCGTGAAGAGGAAACTCAAATACTCTGGCCACCTAATGAGAAGGAAGGACTCACTGGAGAAGAGCCTAATGCTGGGGAAAACGGAGGCCAAAAGAAGAAGGGGTCGACAGAGAATGAGGTGGCTGGAGGGAATCACTGAAGCAATAGGTGTGAGCTTAAATGGACTCCAGAGGATGGTAGAGGACAGAAATGCATGGAGGAACATTGTTCATGAGGTCACAATAGGTCGGACATGACTCCGCAACTAACAACAACAATTGTGATTCAGCTGTGGGATGGGCCTTCCATGGTGATCTCACTGCATATGCTCAGATGCATGAAAGTCTACACCGGGGTGTCCAACCTTGGCAATTTTAAGACCTGTGGACTTCAACTCCCAAAACACCAGTGGAGGTATGTGAAGGTGTGCTGATTTCTGCTTACTTCTATCCTTGCCAAATGGTGATTTTCCAAAAAGTTGTAGGTTAGATGACATTACAAGCAGTTTGAGAAGGCCTGTCAAGAAAGAATGATTTTTTCCACAGGAGGTTCATTCACATGGCAGTAGATTCCATGATACTCCAGTCCTGGTTAATAGGCCCTTTTCTTGACCAAGTTTCATGTCTGTGGGAAACGGGCCGTCCACGCTTTACACTGCAAATGGATTGTCTTAAGGAACCCAGACGTTTCCAGAGCTTAAGTTGTGGTTCAGTGGCATCTTCAAAATGGTAAGGCATGCATTCGTGTGGTCTGTGGACAGATGGATCGAGTGCTGCCGGTTTGCATAAAGTGACAAAAAGGAGACCGATGGTCAGGAGGAGAAAAATACAGATGAGGGCAATGATGATAGGCAAGGAATCCAGGTTCTGCTCGGTTGGCTCTGAGCTCAAGAGAGCCAGCTCAGTGGTTGCGTTGAGTAATTCAGGGACACCTGTACTTGGCAGGGTCTCATTGACTGACTCCTTTGCGCTCATCCTTCTCTCCTGCAAGACAACAGGGTTAAAGGTCAGGCAGCACTGACAAGTGTATGCATTGACATTTATGCAAAATGAATGGGGATGACAAAAGACCAAGTGCAAGCCATTTTCTCCCCTCTTAGTTCTAAATACCTGTGTTTTCCTGAAAATAAGACCCGTCTCAGGGTTCCAAATAACACCCCCCAACAAAAGAAGTCTCCAAGGCTTGAATTTCCTCAAAGTTCCATTTTATTAGAGATGTCCTATTGGCACATCTGGGAAAACCCAAATCTGAAAGCTTCCAGATTTTCTCCACCCAAAAGAAAGTCCAAGTCCCTAACCAGCACCTACGTTTCCATCACATGGTCCAATCAATGCACCATCCCAACTGGAGACAACCCCCAGTCACTCCCATCCAGGTGCAGGCTGAATGCCCTTGACTCCCAGAGAAAGGAATGTTGCCATGACTAATCCTCCACCACTCCTTGCAATCCCCCCCTCCTGTTTTCCCAGGCACTAAATGTGACAGCCCTGAAGTTCCAATGAAAAAGATGGCTTCCAGGTCTGACAACCGGGTCTTATTTTCTTTGGGCCCCCAAATAAGCACTAGGGCTTATTTTAGGAGGTGTCTTACTTTTTCCCATGTACAAGAGTCCCACTTCTTCTGCTTGCTTGTGAAGGGGCAGGAGGCCATGCGGTGTGCCACTGCTACTGCCATGAGATGGGGGGTTGGAGCTGCCCCATGCACCCCTCACTGGCTTACCTCAGTAATTAGCAATTTAATAAATTTATATGCCGCCCAATCCCGTAGGACTCTGGGCAGCTTACAAAAACAAGATAAAAGATAAGAGTTAAAAATAGAGAAAGAGAAACGAATTTAAAAACAACACACCATACATTCAGTCTAGGTGGGGCTGGACCTCGTTCATGAAGTCAACAGCCCCAGGCGTGCTGGAATAGCCAGGTTTTAGTGGCTTTTCAGAAGGCCGAGAGAGTGGGAAGGGTCCGGATCTCTATGGATAGATCGTTCCACAGGGCAGGAGCAGCTACAGAGAAGGCCCTTCCCCAAGGGGCCGCCAGCCGGCATTGTCCGGTCGACGGCACCCGGAGAAGGCCCAACCTGTGAGATCTTATCAGCCGTTGGGAGGTATGTGGCAGGAGGCGGTCTCTCAGATATCCAGGTCCTAGGCCAGAAGTGAGGCAGCGTTGTGGTGGAGCCCCCTGACCCTCATACCGACTTAACTCAGGTCTCCCGCAGCCAGGCCATCCATGTCCTGGCTCCTGTCTTGCCTCGCAGCCGCACAACCAGCATGCCGCTAAGCAGAAGACGTGGTCCAGCGGGCATGTGGGCTTCTACTGCAATGGCTGATGGTGCTGCAGCAGTGAGGCAGGTGCTGGGACATGGATGGATTGGCTGCAGGGGCCCTGAGTTAAGTCGGTGTGAGGGTCAGGGGGCTCCACCACAACACTGCCTCACTTCATGGCCGCAGCACCACAAGCAACCAGACGGAATAAGCTGGTGTCTGGCTGCACAGGCTCTTAGGGGTAGGGCTTATATTAGGCACACATTTAAAAACACAGTAGGTCTTATTTTTGGGATAGGTCTTATTTTTGGGGAAACGGGTTAGTTGAAATTACAGGCAGCCCTAAAGTTATGGCACAATTGGGACCAGAACATCTATTGCTAAACTACGTAGTCATTTTTTCTTCCTGTGGTCATTAAGCAAATCAAACAGTTGTTAAGCAAATCTAGCTTCACCCATAGACTTTCCTCGTTGGGAACTGGCTGGGAAGATCATCATTCCCAGGATGCTGCAACCATTATAATTACATACTGGTTACCAAGTGCCTGAATTTTGATCATATAATCATGGAGATGCTGCGATGGTCATAAATGTGAGGGCCAGTCATGTTACTTTTTTGAGGACTGTTGTAAATTGTTAAACAATTTGGTTGTAAGTCGATCCCCATCTGCAATTCCAAATCTTATACTGGCAGAGCATTATTTGTGATTCATCACTCCTTCAAGAGCAGGTTGTCAAACTCAAGACCCGGGGGCCAGATCTGGCCCATGGGGTGCTTAGATCTGCCCCACATGACTGGCATGGAAATAGTAAAGGACCACCCCTGTGCCCCATTTTCAGCCTAAAAGGCCTCTTGCACCACCCTGCTGGCCAAAACGGGGCATGGGGGGACACACACACCCCCCATGGCCCATTTTCACCCTGGACAGCCTCCTGCAACACTCTGCCAACCAAAATGGGGCACGGGGGTGCATGAAGTCCCCGCACATCCCATTTTGGCTGGCAGGGTGCTGCAGGAGGCCAGCCATCCCATCCCCCCACCCCAGGCCTGGACCCCAGATAACAACAATGCTTATCCGGCCCTTGAAGAAATCCAGTTTGACACCCCTGTTCTAGAGGCTCTGGTCCTGCCAACAAAGTTTCTATCACCTATAGTATTAACTCATTTTCAGCATTATTATTGCATAACAGAGGTCATACCAGAGGTGGGTTGCTGCTGGTTCAGCCCAACCAGCCCAGTTCAGCCGAACCGGTAGTAGAACCCAGGCCTGAATTGCAGAACCGGCAATGACCAGGCCTGCCACACACCCCAAACTGGCTTTCCGGTGTCTTCTGCCTTTGCCGGCATGTACATCCGCAGATCAATTTTTAGTCAAATGCTCATGCACAAGCAACACACAGCCGGCATTCTGACCGGTTCAGGAACCCACCACTGGTCCATACCTATCTGGTCAGAAGTAGGTTTCACAGGATTCAGTAGGTTTCATTTCTGTACATCCGCATTGGATTACAAGCCTAGATTCCGGTCCTTAGAAGAGAAACCTGAACTGCAATGCAAAGCATTTAATTTGAATTTTGAATACTTGCGTTGAATTTAAAGCAGTGGCTCCTAACCATTTCCACTCCAGGATGCAAAGTTAAACGTAGAATTTTTATGCGAAACTGAATGCAGGCTTATTATCTATCTATGGTTGTTTAAAATATTCAAAATAAGAAAATAGGACAGCTGCATATATTTGGAAATCCTTTCTGTCCATACTTTGTAACACCTATTTTGGGAGATATAATTTTTTATTATATATTAGAATTTTTTTTTATTTTTGCTTTTGGAATTTTTTTCCCACTCCTCCTTGCAGAACTCAGAAATATTCTCAGATCAGCCCTGCTTGTTAAAGATCCCCATACAGGTTTCTGGTGATATTCAACTTTAGAACTGTCCTTAATTCCAAAATGTCACCTTTCTTTAGTCTGAACTTCATGTTCATGTTTCATTTTGCTCCATGTAAAAATTGCATCAACTTCTGTTGGCTTAGGAATTTACTAGAATCACCACTTGATGTTTACATACAATTCTATGTAGCCCACTACAATATCAAATGCTCTTGAAAACCACTTCTTAGAAAAATATAGAAAAATTATGAACAACTCACTCAGCACCTGCCCAACAACTTTAACATCAATTCCCAGTGGAAAGCCAAATGGGTCACGGCCAGACATAGGAAGACACATAAATGACCCCACAAAAAAGGTATCACCACATCAATAATGGACAATCCCTAATAGAATATGCACTTCACACAGCAGCTGCCGGGACTCTATAAATAGGGCATGGTATCCTCCCCTCAGTGTGACTGCAGAGTCCCATATCAAACAAAATGCCTGACTGTAAGCTGAGGGCATATATCAATCCAGTATCTGATTTTTTAGAAAATAAAAACGATGCTGTGCTTCAATGGTTAGATGGTCTAAACATTGATATTTGAACATAGAGCTTTTTAACATTCATATTTTATTGGGTTCTAGTAATCTAGATGAAATGCTAATATATATTGCTAGCCCATGTATGATGTGCCATATGCTAAGTCTTCTTATATAGCATATTATTCGGAGTATAAGATGCACCAAGATTTTGAAGAGGCAAATTAACCTCCGAAAGACAGCCCGTTTTTCACGAAAACCGGCCCATTTTTTGTCAAAAAAAGGGCATGCATAGCCTTTAGGAGACTTATAGAGTGCTCCTGGGGGCTGGGGGCCAAAATTGAGCAAAAAACAGCCCATTTTTGCTCATTTCTACCCTCCCCAGCCCCCAGGAGGACTCTGGAAGCCTCCTAAAGGCTATGCACAGCCATTTTGGTGAAAGAGGCAGGGTTTCAGGAGGCAAAAAATACTGCATTCAATGTATAAGACGCACCCAGATTTTCAACCTCTTTTTTGAGGGAAAAAGATGTGTCTTATACTCCAAAACCAACTACCACTCACTCATCATGAAATCTCCAGAATTGTAAAACCTACAAACTTGAAATTCGGCATGTATGTTCCTCTTGGATTATAGGTGCTCTCTAAGCAAGTATTTTTCAAAAAGACTATCAGATCATCAGTATTTCTTATACAGTATTAGATTAACATGCGTCAATGCTAAGGAGTTAGACATTCTACTCCCCCTCCCCACCTGAAAGGAACTCTGTTCCAACTGCCAGTCACCTTATATG